TGTTTGTTTCTTTGTTTTGTTTCACTATATCCCCTTTTATATTTCAGCTAAGAGTACTTGCTTGCAGTATAGAGTACTTGCATAATGCAGTAAAAAGCATTTTATAGCAGATTTGTTAATAATTCTGCTCTTGCCCCATTGCACATGAAATAAAGTTTCAATGTATTTAACTTCAAGTTACGCTCTTACCCCATTTTCGGGGAAAGTGCAGAGTAGTTAACATTTTAAACAATTTCCTATCAAAATCAAAATGTACAAGGAAAATTAAGATCCTAGTTAATATTAATTAAATAGTGGTAATTGCGCAAAGCGTTCGATATCGACAGCGTTAAATATTTACATAGTAGACTGAAAATACTTACGTTTAAATACCAACTTTACAAAAACCAGTCTGCACTTACCCCACTTCACCTTAATCGCTTGAAATCGATTTGAAACGAACAATTCAAAGAGTTTGCTTTATTATCTCATTTGTGTCTTTATACTGCATTTCTTTAAAGATATTCTATAACATTTTAATGCAGTATGTTTTATTCGAAGAAAATTCTGACTGCGATAAATGGTAGTACCCTAGACGAAAGTAGTTCTTGTACTATTAGGTGTAAAGACGTTCGATATTGAACTTACCTTAAGAAACTTGAAGTTTCTTAAACTATCTAGTTTTCCATGTTTATGTCAAAAATATTTTTTCTATTAAAGTAACGTTACTTTATTCTGTAAAGCTTTTTATTTCATTTAAGAACATTGCTCGAAATTGTTACCCTCTAGACACTTATTAATTCATTTAATAAAGTTCTTCTTGATACAACACGAAGTTATAATTCGCTCTGTCATGTTTTCTGGTGTAGTAGGTGGATCGAAGTATACCTTTCCCTTAAGATAACCCCATAAGAAGTAATCGGGTGATGTTAGATCAGGTGATCTCAGGAAAGCGGAAACTAGCTAGTCAGAAAGCTGAACCACTTCGACCTATCCAACGATCAGTAAAATTATTTGCGATACGTGAATGAGCTGGGCAACCATCTCGTTGAAACCACATGTTTGCCTGTTTAGGTTTAGATCTTCAAGTAATACAAGTAATTCGCGATTCAAGAAATCTTGATACTTGTTTCCATCTAACGTGCCATCAATAAATTAAGGTACTGATACTTGAATATGTAAGCCTACCACATGTAACATTGAACTTAAAACAAAATGTATGAAACAAAAGTCATGCATTTATTCACATAGAATATGATTTCGGAATAAAAACATATGGGTTTACGATAAAAAAAGACAAGATGACCTTGAAATAACCTGGAACCCATACAATGCCATCTGACTCCCTACTCGAAATATTAAAAGACACGTGTCAGTTTGCTTTTCTTAAATCTCATGTCTTCGAGATTTTTTATAATGTCAACTCAAATGGGACATCCAGTATATTTATATCAATTTCGTGAAAATTTGAATGTTTATGATCAATATTTACTTCACATTAAATGTGATAATACGGAAATGTTGGTAATATATAATATGATCGTTATGAATTTTATAATATCGAAAATACATATTGATTGTTCGACATATTCATAGCACATATTCATGTGAATGATGTCCTAAACAAGAGCGTGGAGAACTCTTGATTCACCCTCCAGTCAATCAGCTTCAATCCTATTGACCCACTTTGTAATCAGATAAAATTGATCGACGATTTGATGCAAATTATTGTATCAGCATATCGTATATTTAGAGTAAGTACAAATATGAAAGTTAAATAGAAATTCCTCCCCTAATATTCTTTCAAGTATTCTTTGAATCCATTGTTTTATACCTTGAGGTGTTGAAGTTTTAAAATTCCTGTTTCACAATTATTGAGATCCCTAGATTTCCAGATCTTAACTTAAATCTTGGGGTCTCAAGTTCACAACATTTCGAAGTCGCAAGATAATTTCTTGAAGTTTCAGAGTCTTAAGATTTCAAGGTTTAACAGTGTCAAAATTTGAATAAGTTTCAGAGATATTAAATACAATAATTTCACATTTTGAAAGGCAATTTTAGAATTTCGAAATTTCTAAAATATCAAACTCCCAATTTTTCAAGGTCTGTAACTTCGAAGATTGCAAGATGTAAGTATGTTAAGATCTTAGGGTTTCAAGGTATACTGACTGAACAAGGTCCTAGAGTCCTAAGATCTCAAGGTAGACTCCCAAAGTCTGCAACTTTTAACATTTTAAAATTCTTAAGATATCAAACTTTTCAATCTGCAGAAATTTCTATCTTGTAACATCTTCAAATGACTCAATCTTCCAATGTCTCGAAGCTTTTAAGTTCTAAAATTCCAAATTTATAAAAGTTCCAAAACTTAATAATCCTAAGTCCTTCCACTCCCAAAGTGGCAGTTATATGGCAAGGTTTGAAGGTCTGAAGTTACCAACATTGCAAGGTTCACAGGCTGCAAGTTAATATTGCAAGGTTTTAAGACTTCAAGTTACCAACAATGCACAGTTTTAAAATTGCAGGTTACGAACATCTTAAGATATCATGGTACAAATCTACCAAATCCTCAAGGTTTCAACCTCGCTAGGTTCTAATCCACTAAAGTCTCAGAACGGCTGAGTTCAAAGAACCCAAAGATTCAAAGTATTGAAGTCACAAATTCTAAAAGTCTCACGTTACCGAAGCAGCAAAATATGAAGGTCCTTTCAAGGTCTCACATCTTCGAGGTTTCACCCAAACTTCTAAAGTTCTAAGCTCTTAAAATCCTACCCTTACAAGGTTTGAATCTTGCAATGTTCCAATGTTCCAAAATTTAGCATATCAAATCCTAAGTTCTCAGAAGTCCAATCTCTCAGTGTCTTACAATGTCAAAGTTCAAAGAAATCGATGTTTCAAAATGTTATGGCTACATTCTCCAAAAGACGGAAGATACCGAAGTACCAATTTTCTTAGGTCCAACACTTCCTAGGTGTTAATCTTTCAAGTTCCAATACTTTCAAGGTCCTAATCTCTCAAATTTGTAACTTTTCAAAGACCCAACCTCTCAAAGTCCCAATCTTTCAAGTTTCCAATCTCTCAAAGTCCCAATCTATCCAGTTCCCAATCTCTCAAAGTCCCAATCTTTCCAGTTCCCAATCTCTCAAAGTCCCAATCTTTCAAGTTCTCAATCTCTCAAAGTCCCAATCTTTCAAGTTTCCAATCTCTCAAAGTCCCAATCTATCCAGTTCCCAATCTCTCAAAGTCCCAATCTTTCCAGTTCCCAATCTCTCAAAGTCCCAATATCGGAAAGTCCCAACTCCTAAAGTCCCAAACGCCCGAATTTCCAACCTTGCAAATTCCCAATCTTCCAAGATCCAAATCCCCTAAAGTCCTAATCTCTCATAATCTCGCAAGCCCAAACTCTACATCAAAATTTGATGTCCAAACAAGCTATCAAAATTTGAACACAATTAATGTCTCAATCTTCGAATGTTTCAAACCTCTTAAGTTCTAAAATTCCAAATTTACTAAAGTCCCAAAACTTAATAATCCTGAGTCCTCCCACTTCCCTGGCGTTATATCAGTTCATAAAAATCAGTAACACTGCATATCTTACAATATCCAAATGATTTTCTTTGTTTCAGCAACAAGAGAACAACTCCTGTAGCGATGGACAACTGTCAGGTGTGATGCCAGACGTGGCTATGGCGACAGCCTCTTTCGGAGCTCTTCAGCTGATAGAGGAACAAGAGTTAGAGCTAGATCTGGGTGATGGAACATCTCATCTTCTACAGCACGTTTCACCATCAAGCGGGACCATGGGTTCCCATAGGTCATCGCTTCCTCATCCACATCAGAGGCACTATTCTGGTCCGCCTCCTCCACCGTACATGTACCACCGAGCTGGCACTGCCTTACCAAGATTTATTTAAGATTTCTATGAAATAAGGACTGTATGGCAACTATTAAAACCCTGAAAGGGTGGTTTTTTTGTTTATTTTATGAATTAAAGGAGAACCACCCGGGTGCAGTCTTCGTATATCCTTAATATTTATTATCTCAAGATGGGTTTTTTAAAATAATATATTACAAGATTTAGAAATTAGATACGTTATTTATTTTGAGATATACAGTGTATTATCATATTGTGTCTTAAGTTGGCAGACGGACAAGATGTGAGTTGCTTTCAGTTGCCAACTGACACGGAGTGTACGTTAGGGTGATGAATGTTTCTTTTTATATATTTTCATGGGGCCTATCAATGTTATCGGTAATTATATTGACGAGTGATAATAATTAAATACGAGGAGAAAGAAATTTTGTACTTTAGCAGAATTAAATGAAACAATTTAGAAAACAGGGAAACTCATTTTTCCTTTTGGTTGATTATTGTCACTCACTGTTGTAATTATTGATGATATTCGTATGCATGCTAGTTTAAATTATTCATTTTATACGTGATACATTGTACATTGCAGAATAATGAATCGACGAGTCCTCTTCGAGTGCTCTGTCTTTGAAGAAGCTTCAGATGTCAAATAGTTCTTACAGTACGTGTCTGTAAAAGAACACCGAAAAACATATTGTGCAAATGATAACTGCCAGAAACCCCCATTTCTTTATTGTAATTAGCTAATTTTGAGAGAAACTTACGAGGAGATGTCACGATTAGATTATCGATTTTGATACAATTTTTTGCGATGAATTTAGGGCAAATGTTTGATCGTTTTTGTGAATATTCGTTATTTGGCAAGATATGCAATATTTAATTTTTTACCTAGAATATGCGGTATTTGATTGTATAAAGTACTCGAGGAGTATCTTATGAAGAGTAGTTAAGGGTTGAATTTGTAATTTTAAACGATATGCGAAGACGTGCACTGTCGGTGGTTCAATCGTTAGACCACGTGTAACGTCGTCGATGAAACTTGAATTCTAGAGGGTACAAATGTCACCGACACGATTTGTACGCACGTTTTAATTTAATAAGCAGCTTAACGAACCGCGTAGAGGACCCTTTGGTTTCAGGATACTTCCTAATCGTAAGTGAAAGCCCCGAGACAACGGCTCGTGGTAATCGTGGAAAGTTCATTGCTTGTTAGATACAATCACGTAATTATAAATATGGTAATTTCTAGGTGCAGACGGGCGTGAGACGCAGCTGCAGCTGTGGTTCATATTGAATTGTGCAGGATTTATCCGAGAATCGTGATGCAAACGTAGAGAAGACTCTTTGTGCAGAAATAAATCGACGATGAACAATGAAATATTTCTTTGCGAACATTCGTTTTTTGAGAAAACTAAATCCTCTTCAAAACTTTGCTAATTGTAAATTAAATTATAAATTAATCTTTCAATTTATAATTGTATTTTATATAAAAAACACAGAATGATTTGATATCAATTTCAAAGAAAAAATAACGCGTTTAGACCCAACTGTGTATTGTTACACATCTGTTTTTACTGCCCTTAGGGTTTCTGGTTCATGTTCTTTTATATATATATCCCAAAGTGATTTAAGACGTGTAATATTACATAGTTGGGTCTAAAAGCCTTTAAAGCTTCAAAAAATTTGAAAATCAGTTTTCTCTAAAACGAACCTTTCTGTGAACAATCTATACTCTTCATCCACTTTTGCACGAGAAATCTTTCTTTGTATCATGATTTTTGACAGATCCTGTATATACAGGATGTTTCAAAGTTAAATGATTAACATTTCTGAATATATACTATGAGTAAAAATAAAAAGAGGTTATGTAACAGCATATAAAGCATTTATGCACAAAGTAGATTAAAGCTATTTCATTTTATATAACAATAAATTTTAAACTTTTTGAGAAATTTAATTTGAAAGATGAAATCTAAAGTTGAAAGATTAAATTATGAATTACTACTGAAAGATATAGTTTTTAATTGAATCAGGATATAATTATTTTGAAAATAAATCTTAATTCAATTAAATGACAATATTCAGTTACCAAATAATATAATTTACTCTAGTTTAAATTAGTGACTCAATTTATCTAAAATAGTTCTCTAAATCGTACAGACTGACACAATATTTTCACACGGTTTTGCTGTAATATTATTAATCAACGATTCCCAGAGCTACGTTTATGTAACATCTTATCTCTGCCCGTAGAACGATGAAATTTTCATGATGTTAACTTTGCAACATCTTGTAGCACATAATGTATATGCGTGATACAAAGTGCGTGTGAGTGTACGTACACGAATGCGCGAGCTCTCTAAATACCGTATAAAGTGTTAATTAAGACAATTAATTAAGCCGATGTTAAGAGTGAGTCAGAGAGAATGTAAACGACAGAACGATTGAGAGAGAATGAATTCGTTGAAGAAAATTAAACAGGAACAGAAACGAGAGACGTAAGAGAGAGAGAATGTGTGAAGCTTATGAGAAGAAAAGATATACAAACACACAGAATATGTGCAGGTATATATGATCAGTGTTTACGAACAGTTATTGTTCTTTATTTAAACGAAACACCGCTGTGGGTATGATCTTTGCTAATTCATATTACCTATGATATTCAATAAATAATTATTTAAATATTATTAGTAGACGCACCTTTGTCTTCGAGTAGCGTACTGTTAAATTATTCGTTTCTACGTCCACGATATTTTTTTTTCGGTCCACTTAGAGGTGTATTAAATATAGTGGACTGTCATATAATGCGAGGAAGTTATTTATATTTAATTTGGTTTTAGGACGTTGCTCAGTTTTAAAATTTATAAAATCTAAGTTTGCAAATCTGAAGATTTTAAATTCTTAAATTCTCAAACCTTCAAATTTGCAAATTTCTAAATTCTGAAGGTCGAATTTCCAAATATGTAGATATCAAATAAATTTCTGATTTGTGTATTTTGAAATTAAGTCTATACATTTTTCAAATCCATACCTAGTAAACATAAATTTCTATATTATTCAATAACCACACAACAAATTTCAAATTTATAAAGTTATAAATCTTTCAATAATCAAATTTTCAAACTGTTATACTTTCCAACTTTTAAACTCCCAAATTTCAAAATTTGTTAATTCCTAAATTTCCTATTCTTCAAATTCCTATATTCCCAAATTAATAAATCTCCAAATTCTTTAATTCTCAAAGCACCAAACTCCTAAATTCCCAAGTTTACAAATTCCAGAAACTTGTAGACTTCTTAATTCTTAAATTCTTGAATTCTTAAATTCTTAAATTCTTAAATTCTTAAATTCTTAAATTCTTAAATTCTTGAATTCTTGAATTCTCGAATTCTTCAATGCTTAAATTCTTGAATTTTTCAATTCTTCAATTCTTATATTCCTAAATTCTTGAATTTTTGAATTTTTCAGTTCTTGAGTTCTTGAGTTCTTGTGTTCCTGAATGTTTCAATTCTTATATTCCTAAATTCTTGAATTTTTCAATTCTTCAATTCTTCAATTCTTGAGTTCTTGTGTTCTTGAATTCTTCAGATCTTGAATTCTTGAATTCTGGAATTCTCAAATTCTCGTATCTTGAAATTTCTAAATTCCCAAGTTTCTAAATTCCTAAATTGTCAAATGTCCAACTTCCTTTTCCCAATTTTTAAATTTCTAAAGTCTTAAATCCCTAAATTTTCAACCTTCTAAATTCGCAAATTCCCAAATCTCAAATTTCCAAATCACCAAATATAATTCCCAAATTTTCAAAATCTCAAAAATTGCCTATGACCAAATCAAGATTTTTAATTTTCAATCTTCCAAATACTCAAATTTGCACGTCTCTAAACTCTTAAATCTTCACATTTCTAAATTTCAAAATTAGGATATTTGTTAACATTCAAATATTCTTTACAAGTTTAATAGTAATTTGTTCTCCTATTTAAGAACAATGAAACATTTTTCCAATTTAATATGTAATCCATATTTATATTTTTGTATCCATTGCCTTGTATGGTAGTCCACTATATAGCAAAGAACAAAAAGCCAGGAACTTGTAATATTACGTGTTTATATTATTCCCTGTTGTACAAATTGTGTTTTTTTTTATTTGGATGAATAAATATCGTGTTCAGGTGTAGTGGTCAGACGTTGCCGATTCCGCGGCGAACAAAAATCGTTTGTTGCTTTCGTACAACGAGATATTCATAGTTTTTTGTCACAAACACCCGTGAAATAAAAACAACGTTCAGTAAGGAAAAATATCTTCACGAGTATCTCTGTAATTATTTATCAATTACTTGCAGATTTATGGAAGGAGTTCTGTCCAGTTTTTCCTGTTTTCATTTTGTGAGAGGAGCGATTTCAAAATGGCGGAGGAGGAAAGAAGGTACTATGCTGTATAAATATCATATCTTGCTTTTTTTCTAATGATTATGAATTTTTCGGACTCTAAACTTGAATTCTGTGGTTTTGAATCTCTAAGTTTTCAAGTTTGCAGATTTTTACGCTTTTTAATTATTAAAGTCCCGAACTTTTATGGCGGCAATTTTATAAATTTGCAAATTTACAAATTCCCCGATTTTTCAATTCTCAAATTGTTTTAATTCTTAAACTCTTAAATTTTCCAATTTTTATATTACCAAACCCTTAATTTGCAGATTTCTAAGTCTCTAAATTCTTAAATTTTCAAATTTCTAAATTTCTAAGTTCTTAAATTTGCAAATGTAAATTTGTTAAATCCCCAAATTTCCAAATTTCCAAATACAAATTCCCAGTTTTAGAAATTCAAATTCCTAAATTTAAAAATTTAGAAATTCCATATTCTCAAATTTACAAATTTATATATTTAAATATTTACCAATTCCATGTTTGCACGTTTTTAAATTTACAAGCTTGCAAATGTCAATTTCTCAAATTTGCAATATTAGAAATTCAAATTCCCAAATTTACAAATTTGCAAACTTCATACTCATAAATACACAAATTTACATATTTAAAAATTTACCAATTCCATGTTTGCAAATTTTTAAATTTACAAGCTTGAAAATTTCACATTCCCAAATTTGCAATATTAGAAATTCAAATTCCCAAATTTACAAATTTGCACACTCCATACTCACAAATTTTTTAATTTACAAGCTTGCAAATTCCAAATTCCCAAATTTACAAATTTACACATTCCAATATTAGAAATTCAAATTCCCAAGTTTACAAATTTGCAAACTCCATATTCATTAATCTAAAAATGTACAAACATACATATTTACAAATTCCGAATTCCTGCACTCCCAAATTTCCAATTTCTCAAATCCCAAATTTCCAAATTCACAAAATCTTAAATCTCCCTAAATTTTTACTCCAAAATCTATGCACCAATATATCAAACCACATCTATTGTCAGTAAAACTTGAAATATTGCTAATACACGTTGACCGCCAATGTCTCAGCAAACCGAAGAATGATCTCGAATATTTAATCTAAACGATCAGAGTATTATATATGTCAGAATCGATCGCGTTGCCAACGGTCTTATGAAATGAAAATTGACACAGAAATAGTTGTATAGCTCCATGATGTCGACGACACTTGTGGAACGAGTGTTTTTATACAGAGCCGGTCGTCAAAGGGTTAAGTAGTCTACCATCAGCCAAGTAGGTCACTGAAGTAGATATGTCTGCTGCAGTTTATTGTAGTAAACCAGAAACGAGACGGAAGAATTAATCGCGCGATTATAATTTATTTAATACAACGGATATAAAATGGTTTTATTTTTAATCTTTTATTTATCCTTCTTAAAAGTTTTTAAAATTTATACTGACTTCTTTAACTACTTAACATCTTGACTTATTGGTATTTGTTGTTGTTTGATCTTACTCTTCGTACTTTTTTCAGTCATTTTCTTGGGGTATCTATTTGATTTTAACAAATAACTGTGTTCACTGATAATGATTAGCAAGGGACTTTCTATGATACTCACAAAACATACACAGGAAACACAGGACTAAAAGGACTGTTAAA